GCCTTGAGGCGACTTTTGTTGTGATTTGGCGCTATATAAATAAAATTGAATTGAATTGAATTTAACATTTGACAAACACACAACCAAAACTGCTGACTCAGTTCCTTCTCAGGTTTCTTAAACTAGAAATTCCACTGGTTTGCACACATGATAGAACCAACGAAGTGCCCATGAGACAAAGGTTTGGAAATATGTGGAATTCCCCTGCTTCATGCCTTCTGCTGCAGCCTGTAATTGCTATCACTAATGAGTACTCAAGAATCCTCTCACAGACATCAAAAGAGTGGATTTTTTTTAATGATTTAAACAATTCTTGGAATAGGGGCGAAAAAAAAAGCTTCTTTCCTGTGATCAAAAGCCTTGGCACGTCAAATTCAACCTGATTAGCGCAGTAACATTTGCTAATCAGCAGTAAACTCAGGGTACAGCTCAGGCTGATGATCGTCAGCCAAATTTTTTTTTTTAGCCTGAAGAAGGATAATGTCAAAGGATTGTGTTATTAAGGTCTAGAAGAAACTTCATGGCAAGCACTTCAATAGTCTGGCCAAGAAAAAACGGCTCTGGATTTCCAAAGGAGAGTTTCTCCTCTGGGTATGAGTATCTCAACAAAACCTGTTGACATACTTTGTCCTGAATAACACAAATCAGACAGACCAACATTACCATCTCCGGCGCCATCATTGCCTTAGACTGTGGCGTCTTTACCACACAGTATAAAAATGCCTTGAGGCGACCATTGTTGTGCTTTGGTGCCGTATGATAAACCTTGAATTGAATCTCTCACCGGCATGAGAAGCAGTGCAGGTGCCTCCGTTCTTACAGTAGTCCCTGCATTGGTTGATTTCACATCTCTCGCCTATGTAGCTGGGCTGGCAGCGACACTTTGCCACCTGACGGTCGTTGAAGAAGCAGCTCCCACCGTTCTGACACTGGATGTCGCACGGAACTGAGGGCGGGGCTGTCAAAGGACACGACACATTTAGTGTGTACATGTTAACCTTGCTAGAAGGGAAGCTGCTTGTTTATGTAGTGTACATACAGAACGGTGATTGGGTGGGGTTTGGTCTCTCCGTACAGGTGCCGTTGTCTGCAACGTAGTTGTTAGGGCAGGTGCACACCGGCCCACTGGGGCTGAGGAGACACAGCCACTCACACTTCTTCCTGTCACACGGGTTAGTCACTGGTGCAGAGAGAAACATGACCGGTGAGAAAATCCAACAAGTGTGCATCAAAATAAGGTGTGTGGTGTCCATTTTACATTAAGACTGAAGCAGACTATGTGTGAAGAAAAATCCTAATCAATGTGTTTGATACTCACTCTCTGGCTGCTTGTAACGGTGATACAGGACTATGTCTGTAGCATGGTTGATGCCTGTAGTGAGATTCTCCATAGGGCCTTTACCAAACTTGTTGACCCGGAAGACAAAGTTGTTAATATATGTGACCCCGTAAATGTAGTCCTCAAAGATATCTATGCTGAATGGATGGAGCAAATCTAGAGGGGAAAGAAGTACATACGGGTGGGCAAGTGTTAATGTCACATTAGCAAACTTGCAGGTAGTCTGGAAAGTTGCAGAATAAACTCAACTGTTTTTGATCCCGGAGACAGCAACGACAGGGTCAGAGCCATCCAGACGGACACTGCCGATGACTGATAGTTTAGCATCTGCCCAGTAAAGACGCTCATTGAAGTAGTCCACAGCTAAGCCTGCAGAGGCACAATTAGAGAGCCTTAATGTGGATGAATAATTATGCGTATCTGGATTCAAATCAATTCAGTCTCGGAGCAGTACGTACCTGTTGGCCACTGGATGTTCTCCTGGACGAGTGTTTGTCTTAGAGTGCCGTCCATGGCGGCCGTCTCAATTTTAGGGTGGTTGCCCCAGTCTGCCCAGTACATGGTACTAATAAAAAATCCAGAGTCAGAACCAGAGATGGGCAGTAACGCGTTACTTTACTCGTTACTTGAAAAAAGTAATCGGATTACAGTAAGGGATTACTATTGCAAAAACAGTAATTAGATTACCGTTACTTTCCCGTAGGAACGCTGCGTTACTGCGTTACT